AGTCCTTGAGTGACATTTGAAAATCAGGTGTAGGGACTGTTCACAGATAGGATAATCTTCCTTGGCTCCCTTTGCAGTCAGAGGGAGATGGGCTCTTCCTATTCGATGGGCAGGATCACATGGAGTGGGTGCTCTGGGTCAACCCATACCAGAGCCCATTGAACCAAAGGAGCCGAGGCTCCCGGTTTGAAGATAGCCCTTGTAAGCACCTCTTCTGGGCTCCTAAAGTCAGGCTGACTTGCTTTCCCTGACATGCCAGAGTAACTTGCTGCACTGCGTCTGCCACATAGGGTTAAAAACTTTTTTTCTTTCCATTATATAAGGACAAAGGGTGAAATTTTCAGCTTTTACATACTGGGTTAAAATAGGGTTTCTCCCCACCAGAGGGTGGTGCTGGAGAACAAGAGGACACTTCTGCTCCACATACAGCTTTTGAAGCCCTGGAAAGACTTGACACTGCAGAGCTGTGCTGTGGTGGCCTGGCTTGCCCAGCCCTTTGGGCCACAATGTTACTGGGAGATCTGTCTTTTGAGGCTACCCTGGCGTCTTAAACTCATCCCTGCTCCAGATCCTGCTAAAGAACGGAGTTCAGCCACTTGTACCGAATGAATTGCCCTAAATGAAAACTGAGCTTCCCATCTGGGCCACCCTCACAACAGCAAAATGGCACCTTGTTTGGAAATACTGGTGGGCCTTAGAGACTTTGGTTCACTGGGCCTGTGCCTTCTGTCCTGGGTAGGGTAATCCTGTTCTGCTGACTCTCTCCATGGTAAGCAGAGTGTTTACTGGCTTGTATCTGTCTCAGCTTTGACACTCTGACAAAAGGTTAGAAATCATGAATGCATCTCTTTATTCCCGCTCCACAGTGCCTCTCTTTTTTTCTGTGTAAACCCTTCACTTGCCTCTTGCCCAGCCTTTAGAAATGGTGATCAAATGCGAACTTTCAGGGTTTATTTATAGCATAGCCTTTATAGAAAGAGAGAAAAGAAATGATTAAAAAGCAATTTTACAAAATATTTTGTTTTAAGAGAGAATTCATTGTGTTTAAATCACTGTATTCATTGTACTGTCTAGACAGGCAAACAAAGAAGATAGATAGAGCACCATTCAAATTAAGATTGTGAAATTCTTGGTGACTGGAATTATGGATTTGGATGTCAACCCTCAAACAAGCTATTTCTGAACGGCAGTATTATCACTTTGCTATATTTAAGGCTCTGTTGAAGACAGAATAGAGCATAAGGTTGATCTGATTCAGTAATGCAGTTCTAATGTTCCTTTGTTCCTTATTTCATTATAAATTCATATTTTCAATGTTTTTTTCCTCTTTGTCCCCAGAAAATTGTTGAAAAGGCTCTCCTCTGGGAGTAAAGTACTTGTTCAAGCTAACAATGACCAAGCTGACTTAAAAAAATGCAAATTAGGGCAGGAATTCACTTAGGATATTTTGAGCAACCTAGCATGAGTGAGTTGTTGAAAATTGCTGGCTTTTGGATGTGTTATACCACATTACCGTGATGGCTGCTGTGAGAGCTTAGCACTGTGGCTTCTCAAAGACCTACATATGCTTAAAAATACAAATATATTTACATGATAAACCGGAAAGACAGCTTTGGCATCTTCCTCCTTATCTGTGCTTATGACAATGTGCTAAATGTGGATAGACTGGTGAACCAGCAGAAGAAAATAAGCGGCAGCCAGGCCTTGCTTGCTGGTTTAGATCAGATATTTAAGAACCAACTTTTCTTTAAGGACCTCTCTAGTCTCTGCTGTTCTCGGGCTCCCCTTCCAGTGGCGGCACCCTTGGCGGCTGCCTCTCAGGAGCACGCAGCATGCCGAGCGCACGGCCCACGGGCCTACGCTGCGGCAGAAAGGCTGGAGGCCCACTGCAGTTTGAGAGTAGTTTAATTTAAAATTTTGGCAAGTCCCAGGAAAAAAGAGGGAAAAATAACTTTAAATTGAAAGGGAAGCTTCCAGGTTGGGGAAAGATTGGAGTTTTGGGATACTTATCAAGACGTTTTGCTGCTTGGCACATTATTAGGAGCAGTGAAAGATCCGATCCAGCACACAGTGAGTGCAGGGGGCTTTCATCAGCTCTGCAAAGACTTGGTTTGGCCCTTGTGGTCCCTGAACGTGCTTAAAGACCACTGCTGCGACGTGCTTACAGCCTGAAACCCGGCGTTTCACAGCTGCCCCATGTGTTGTTGGGCCTCGCTCGTGTGACAGTGGCAGGATTGGGAGTCCGAGGACATGCACGTGGGAGCTCGAGCCAGGGCCGGCGCTCCCATGTCGCATGGGACGGCTGCGCCGCACGAGGCTGCGCTTGCAGCAGCCCACACCTACTTCATCTGCTTGAGTCTTTGTTGGTGGCTGTTTTCTCCAAACTGACCAGAAAAACCTCATAGTGAGATGATTAAGAGTGTAAAAATAAAGCTGATCTAAATATATGTTTATCTCAAAAAGCTGGCTTATTTCCCAAAGAAGCAGAAGTGCATTTTTCAGCAGTGAAGGTCTTAAGAGGCCCCGGCGTAAAGCAGACCGTTACTGTGCAGTATAGTTATGTCAGGAGCACAGCCTTTCCTGGGGACAGCGCTGTCTAGGTCCTGTTTTCCTGAAGTTCCCCAGCATGGGACAGCAGAAGGCAAACCCTGCTTGCACATGGAGCGGGTGATTAGCAGAGTTTGGTCCCCCTTCTCATTTTTATTGCACTTGAGAAAAAAGTTGATTTGAGTGAGACATTTAGGCCCTTTGAGCTGCCCCTTTGATTTTTTTTCTTTTTCTGCAGTATTGCCAGGGCAATTCAGTAGGAGGTGTAAAGCAGGGAGCTGAAAGTAATGTGGCTCTTGGCATCAGCGAGCGTGCTTCGAGGGGCTTTGCCACCTCGTGTGCAGGGGCTCTGCCTTTACCTTGATGTCTGTGTTCCTCCAGTAAGAGAGGAAGCTATGTTAAAACACATTATTGATTATAACAGAGGAAATTGGCTGTTGTTTCTTTTTCCCTCTGTTCATTCATTTTGTGAGCAGCCTCTAAATCCAGATGGCAATGTAAGGCGTTTGTGAAAGACTATTGTAAACAAGAACAATGCAGGTAGGATCACCTGTTAAAGAACAGGGAATAAATGGTCATTTCTCTTCCCAGGAAAGACATCAACCTTTCCATGTCAGTGTTTTAATCTGGCTGGTGTGCAGAATTTCTCTGCCAGCAGGCTCACGTGTCCCTGAGAAGAGAACATGCTATCTCACTAGAAGTGTTATTTCAAGGGTATTTCTTAGGAAATCGGAGTGCAATCAATTTCTGCACATATAAAAGAGTGTGAGCGTATGAATGCCCAGAAATACTCCTCTGTTGTTTTATCAGAAGCATTAATAAGAGTAAAATCTCAACTGCGCTGACATCACTGTCAGTGCTTTTTACTTTGGTAGAGCCAGGATTTCATCCAGTATTGACCCCCTGGAGCAGGTAAATGTAAAAAGTATGTGTTCCACATTCTAATAACACATTTAGATTGGCATTATAAAAGGATTTGTGGATGCTGTATGACAAAAGAAGCAAACACACCCAGAACATACCACGTAACACAGGTGCAGGTTCAGCCAGCCAGGCAGAGAGCCCCGTGGGGCCACCTCCTGCACTGGCACACGAGTGTCATCCCAGGCACTATGCGTCTAGTCGAACAGACACTGCTGTGCGTGGGAGAAAGTATCTGTTGGCTTTATGGGCGGTCCGCTTGCATCGTGGCATCTAGGTCATGATCATATTTCTTTAACACAGGGGAAATGAGAAACCAGAAGATATAAGGGTCTGCTCATCACTTGCTGATCCTCAGAGCCTCCCTGCCTGTTCTGCATTGGTGAAATTGTGCTTACATTGCTCATCTACGTTGTAGCATTCTGTGAGATCCTCAGCTGTAAAATGCTGGATTAGTGGAATGCAAAGTTTTTACTACAGTAGATATTACAGGCTATAAAATCATCCAACGCTTTAAAAAATCTAGCCATAATATTTGACTAGATGACTAGATGGCTTCCAGCAGTAGCAGCTTGCGCAGGCTGACTGTTTTATCAGGGTCATTCTGATATTCTCATCGTGTTACGCTTTAGGTGCTAGTATTAAATCAGATTTAAGGTCCTGCTTAGAAACTGTAAAGGCTAATATAAGTTTAGTGAGACACTGATACTTGAATCTCGATCTTTTATAATATATTTAACACTGTTACATTTGAAAGCTCTTGCTCTAATGCTTCTTGTGGAGTAACTTCTACTTAAAGTAGTGTGAGCCTGCTGCCTCCACCCCTGTCTAAGAGCATGATCTTCTGCTAACACTGGTGATTAGTGTTTCATCTCAGTGGGATTGCTCAGGAGAATCCCTAGAAAATCAGATTTTCATAGAGATCAGGAAAGGAATCAAACTACTTGGTCTTCTCCCTTCCACAAGTGATGCTGTCCTAGAGACTCCTTTTCCAGGGGATTCTGCAAGATGCCATTGTCTGACTTTGTTTGGGCTAAAAGCAGAATAGGATCCAAGTCTGTTTCTTAGGCCTTCATACTGGAACGTGAGGGCAGCGCTGGGCTCCAGAGCAGAACTTTGCAAGTTACATGTAGCTTCTGGAGCACACTGGAGCCCTCTCCTTGCTACAGGGATACTTGAAGAAAATGATTACGGGATCTCATGTAAAGTATCATTTTATTTGAGAATTCACCCCTCTGGGGATGCAGTGTTTAACATTTCCTTTGGCTAGTGTAAATAATAAGAGATAAGTCTGTTCTGCCTCAGCCTCCCAGTAAGAAAGAGGAACAGATTTTGGTTTACTGAGCGGTCTGCGGTACTTTGTTCTCATGACTACTATATAATGGGATTGAACATATTTTATGCCATCTGGCCTGTTCAGCTGAAACCAAATACATCAGTAATGTTCTGATTGGTTTTGAAACATCTTGTTCTTGTCAAAAAGTATTTTAAATCAAAACAGGCTTTTCCAGTTTGTGTTTGTCTTTTCCTAGGAGGCCATGGCAAAAATGGGAAAAATTGGGAGAGTCGTGCAGCCAAACCATGGGGATAAAAGGTAATTCTGAGTTTTGTGTGTTCACCTATGAGAATTTACTTAAAATGAAGTCAAGGCCTGTCTTTTTCTAGCCCTGCTTGAATGAAGTGATATTTATGGCCCAGATTTTTTATATGGGCACCCGACTCTTTAACATGGGTGAGGGCATTCATTTGCTATCAGCTGGATGTCAGCACCGAAGCCGGTAACTCTGTACCCGCACCGCTGCCTTTCCTTGGCAAGCAAACGTCACAAACAGCGCGAGAGCCGTGGGAAAACGTGCAGAAAGTTACCAAGCGGGCTAAAACAATGCCAGATGCATTTTCAAAACAGCGACTTCAGGTCCTGCGTCACTGTTTGATAATTTGACGTGTGCTTCCCACGTTAGCTGGCTGATGGCTCCGAGCTGAGCGGTGCCTCCGGCGGAGGCTGGAGCCCGGCGCCCCGGGCGGCCCCGGGCAGCGGCGGTGGCGGCCGAGGG